GACGATCCTTATGATATATTATAACGATAAATCTAAAGACAAATCGATTGAAACACATAGACAAGATAGTGCTGCACTATCATTCGGGCGAAGTTTAGAGGGAAATGTCGTAAATTATACACTTCTGGTAGATGGTTTCACAGGCTAGCCGAGATCGCTGAGCGCGCCTAATAATCAACAAAAGTTTATAAAAGTGATGTCGTTGTAATTATTGTTATGTCGCGGATACTGTTTCAGTCTCTAACCGTGGAACGAAAACAAACGGGAAAACTTTAGAAAGCACAACAACCAAATTTAAACGATAAGAGTAATGTATATGTACACATTTTATTTTAGCTGTTTGACGATATATTTTTTTTATTTACCGTTTCCTGGACGCAAAACCCATCGATCTTACAAATATAATATATATATATTAATAAATGTATAGTTAGGTTTCCAGGCTGCGTCAAAGTCAACAAATTGCATTGCAAATAGGACATGTACAATGAAGGGATAAAGGATGATTATTAATTTAAGGTGTTTAGACCTTCATTATTGTATATACAATATACATAATATTTCAAGCACGTTTATAATATTATTACAGAGTATTTACGAAGTTTAGAAAACTATTAACGCCTCAATTCAAGAGTCACAACGATTTAAAAACTGAAATCACACGTTCTAATTGAATAAATGTAAAGATTACGATAATCCACATATTTTCTGGCGGCTAATCGGATGATGCGGTTATAGATTGTGTGACGTTTTGACAGCCTATGCACCCTATATAATCAGAAATAATAAACATATACAGCGTGTAGCAATATTATATATTATTATGTGTAGTTGATTTTATACGAAAGTAGTAACAATATACAGTAATAGCCGTCGTATGTACATGTACAATATATAGGACATAGGTATCCCACCCGCCGCCAACCACAACCCTGTTGTAGATATAATATATTCTATCATATTATTACGCGGTGGAATACATGTACAACAATAAAAATATATTTCCAACGATAAAGTTATTCGCCGAGGCCACCATAATCATTCACCATGTGCTTGAATTGCCCGTATTATATTATTATTGTTATTATA